GTTCTATACTCCCAAAGAAAAGGCGTTACCAACCAGCTTCGCCAAATGGAGAAGGGTTGCACACACGAGGGCGCCACCAAATGGAAACGAATCGTCGTGAATGTTGTAAACAATCAGTTTCATACTCCCAAAGAAAAGGCGTTACCAACCAGCTTCGCTAAATGGAGAAGGGTTGCACACACGAGGGCGTCACCAAATGTAAACGAATCGTCGTGAATGTTGTAAACAATCAGTTTCATACTCCCACAGAAAGGCATTACCAACCAGCTTCGCCAAATGGAGGAGGGTTGCACACACGAGGGCGTTACCATCAGAAAACGAAGGTCGTGGGTGTTGTAAACAACCAGTTCATACTCCAAAAGAGTTCGACTATTTCCTGTTCATTTCTAAGTGAAGACACAACAAATAATAGGTATTCCTCACCTCAAAAAACTAAGCGAAGATTCGACAAATAATAGGTGGTATTCCTCACCCAAGAAAAATTAAGTCGCTGAAATTAAAGAAAAGAAATAATATTTTATTTTATTTCGACTATTTCCTGTTCATTTCTAGTGAAGACGCGACAAATAATTGGTATTCCTCACCCAAAAAAACCTAAGCGAAGACTCGACAAAATAATAGGTATTTCTCACCCAAAAAAACTGTCGTTGAAATAAAAGAAAAAAAAATAATATTTTATTTTATTTCGACTATTTCATGTTCATTTCTAAGTGAAGACGCGACAAATAATAGGTATTTCTCACCCAAAAAAACTAAGTCGTTGAAATAGAAGAAAAAAAATAATATTTTATTTATTTCGACTATTTCCTGTTCATTTCTAAGTGAAGACGCGATAGGTATTCCTCGCCCAAGAAAAACTAAGTCGCTAAAATAAAAGAAAAAAATAATATTTTATTTATTTCAACTATTTCTAAGTGAAGACGCGACAGGTATTCCTCACCTAAGAAAGAAAAACTAAACCGCTGAAATAAAAGAAAAAAATAATATTTTATTTAGAAAGAGAAAAAAAAATTATACTATGGTATATATATACAAAATTGGACTGATGTTATTATCACGTGATTCAATAGTTTTGACGTGCTCGTTAAAAATATCAAAATAAATATCGCGTCGCGGGAGGATGTGACACCAGTGGTAAACAAAATATGTGATATCACATGTATCAATAGTTCAGCCCCATTACACCCATTACAAACTCAGTTCAAGTTGAAACTAATTGGCGTTTTGTCATTGATAATACGTGTTTTGATTGTTATGGTTTTTTCAGCATGGGTAAAAATCCATCTATTGGCTCTTACATTACCAATAGATTTAATATCGCTCATTTAAAATATTACTGATTTTATCACATAATTTGATAACGCAAATTTCTTTTAACTCGCAATAATATTTTTTGAAATTTTATTACTTACGTAATTATATAATTATATATTATTGGATGATTTAAATCTAATGCGGCACGTATCTTCCATATTATTTAGATCTGATTTCTGCAAAAGCTATTTAATTATTAGTGTAAATTTAAATAATAAACTTTACGAAATTTACAGAATATACCTAATATTTTTTCGCTTAATTCATTATCATTTAGGAATATTTATTGTTTCTGCATTATCAAGTTCACAATCTTCAAATTGTTTTCAATCTTTATATCAAATTCATCATTTATATCTTCATCCATGTGCAACTGATTGTTATATGACCGTGTTAATTCATCAATAGAAGTAGCTAGGTAAGAATAATAATGGTGACATCGGAGACCCAGTTTTTGGCAGCATTCTTCATGATATGCATGGCCACAAATTAATACTTCTCCATTTTCATCTGTAAAATTTGCACAATTAATGTGACACAGAACTTTTCATCACTTGGTAGTACTGTTGAATGATATCCAATAGGTAATATACCGGTAGAAAATCGTGATTCTATTACGTAAGAAAAATAGTAGTAGGTTTTTTTATTAACTTTACCATCCATTTTTTTCTTTACTTGGCCATTATTTTTCCATATTTCATCAAAATAATCTAGAAGAAAAAGAGCTGTTTTTTTACTAGATTATCAAGAACTTTTTTTTATACAGATAATCACGTTTTGACGCAAAAGAAGTGGTAAATAGATTATCATTCCAAAAATGATCCAAAAGTAAAGCATCACTCCAGCTGTTGATACTTTGGCATTGGTATGTCGTCGTAATAAGCTATGGAAATTTTCTAATACATATTCATCAAACTTATTTAAATTGCTTTAGTACATCAATAAAGGGATGTTCCAGTAATGAATATCCGACAGAAATGCCAGTGAGATTTTGTCATAGTTATGTCGATTAAATCTTCTCATTACAGTCCATAAACGAAATGCTGTAGAAATGTACTCTTCAAAATGTTTTCTACGAAACAAACGTAGCATAAATATCCAAGGAAGAAGGTACTAAATTATCAAGAAGATCAAAAAATGTTAAATATCCTACACTTTTTGATAATTTAAAACGGTCTTTTACATATTTTTTAACTAGTTGCCAGCCTGCATGAGTTAAATATAGCAGTAAATTGATTCTCTATGGCTATAATTTTTCTACCAACTTTTTTTTCATTCCAAATACTCTCCTATACATTAAATCAAAAAATCCTCAAAATATCAAGAAAGTCTAGTATTAAGTGTATGATGCAAAGGTCCCAAAAAAGGTAACAAGCGAGTAATTTCTTTTGGAATATTTGAATTATCTGATTCTAGTTTTTTCACAATGGCTTTCCTAATAAAGAGTTTTCCAGGGAAGTCCGCAGGAATAGGAATAATGTAATTATTAAAATATGCTTGTACTTCAGGTAATCACAGCTTGTAGGTAGTCTTTCGTATTCTTAAGATTTAATTCAACAAGATCAACCAGCTTTATTTCAGTGAACTTGCGCCCATATCTTTCAAAAAGGTCAGCATCATATGAGTAATGAGTGTACTATCAATGATTCCAAAAGACTCGGCTTGTTCACAGTAATATCTTGTATTTGAATCCAAGTGGTTTTAAATGAATTGTAACTATGGCAAATGAAATCATATAATTCTCCCAAAGTGTTGTCTTTAAAATAGTATCATCAACTCCATTAGGATTATGTATAGAAGTATTATTTAGAGAAATATAGGTATAGGGGATAGAAATTGTCTCAATATTATTAAACAATATGGACGCCATATGTGATATTTGTGAAATAGATGTTGCAGATGGAATTCGCGTACTGACAGCCCGCCGCACCGCGAAGGTTATTATAATCATCAATACAACCAATAAACTATAATAAAATTAGGTTACGATCTGAGGATCATCTCCAGATTTCATCCATCAGATGACGGATGACGGATCATCTGACCAGATATCCGTCAGATTAACTTTTTGAAATTTTTATAAAAATTGTTTTTTAGGTTATTTTTTTTTTATATGTAATGACTTTCAATTGGTTTTTTTAACATTTATTAACATTCTATTTTTGTTTTTTGTGAGTTAGGCATGTATGGACTCATTAAAATGATAAACTAAGGTGAATGTTATTATTATATCTAATAGAATACTTTTTGCATTATAAAAAGAAAAAAAAATGTCTTTAATCTTAATTGTATAGAATTCAATTAGAAAGTGAATTAACCTGCTGATCCATTTTTTTTCAGTTTTTCTAAAATGAACAAGAGCGATTTTTTTTATGTAATAACAAAAAAAATTGTTTTCCATTAATAACAAATTTAAAAAATTATATTTAATTAAAAATTATATTTTTCAAAAATTAATGGTGGAATTGCGGCATTTAGACTTCAAAATCAGCAATACCGAACGCTGTGAAATTCCATGGAATTTCTGTGATTAATCCAGGAGAGAATTGTTGGTTGAAAAGTTTTTTTATTTTTTTGATGGAGAATTTTGTTATAAGTCTCAATAGAAAATTATATTGAAAATAGTTTTTTTTAATAAGGGTATCGAGAATTTTGGCATTAAATTACATTAATAAGATTAAGATAAATTAAAAAAAAGTATGATAGAGTCCTAAATAGCATAGTAAAATTAAGCTCCGCATAAGCCGAGCCGGCTTGTAAGCTGAGCCATACTTAATAAATTGGCTTGATGCTTGACAAGCCGGCTCAAAAAAGCTCAAGCTGGCTCGCCTACAAAGTAATAAAATAAAAATTAATCTTTAGTATTTTTTTTTTTTTTGTTTTATTTGTTTCATTTTAATAATTTCAGATTTCTAGAATTTATTTTTATGGTATTTTTTTAAAAAATTTATCTTTCTTTATTTAATAATTTTCTTTGGTATTTTTTGATTCCATTTTTAACTTTAATTTTTAGCATTTTTTTTAATTTTAATATTTTTTTAATTTCATAAAAAATTTTTATACAAATTTCTTATTATATAATCATATAATATTCATAAATTAAAAAGAACAAAATTGGGGATTGCCAAACGTCGCCTAGGCAACTCATCGCCTGGGTTTTTTTTCAAATATGTCATATGATGTATCTAATTTTTGATCGGTTATTATTGCAAAAGATATTCTTTTTTGCAAACATATTTATTCAAAATAATTTAATGAAATTTATTTGCAAATATTAAAATTTAAGTCACACATTTACGATTTTAAAGAAAAAAATCACCAGATTTATTTTTATTGAAGTGTACAAATAAAAGAAACAATAACAATAAATAAAAAAGATAAGTAAATTACAATGATAAAGGAGAAAGATGCTAATAAAAAAATGAAATAACAATGGAGTAATGGAAAGTAATAGAAGATGAAAGGGAGTAAGAAAGAGCAATGAGAAGTGATAGGAAACAAAAAGGAGAAATAGGACATGATGAGAGATGAAAAAAAGTGATGGAGATGAAGAGGAGTGATGGGAGATAAAAAGGAGTAATGGGATATGAAAAGAAGTAATGGGAAGGTGAAGAGGAGTAAAAATTTATTAAAATTGTAAAATTTAATAAAAATTTTCCAATAAATTTTCAATTTTTTATAAAAAAAAAAAATTTCAAGCCAAAATTCTCGATACACTTATTAAAAAAAACCATTTTCAATAAAATTTTCTATTAAGATTTCTAAACATCAAAAAAATAAAAAAAATTTTCAACAAACAATTCTCTAATGAAATTCTCAATCAAAAAATATCCTCGATTAAAGAAAAATTCAAAGATTCTTACCACCTATTAAAAAAAATTCTTAAAAGAATTTCTATATCAAAAAAAAAAACTCCTCTCCTATTAAAAAAAAATCTTTACCGAAATTCTCTTTCAAAAACAAATCTCCCC